GTCATCATTGACCACAAGATGAACATGAGCCTGCAGTGCGATGCGGCGGCTAGTAAAGCGACTAAAATGCTGGCTTGCATCCATAGATGCTTCTCAAGCAAATCCCAGGACGTCATTCTCCCCTTGTACTCAGCCTTGGTGAGGCCGCAGTCGGAATACTGCATCCAGTTTTGGGCCCCACAATTCAAAAAGGATGTGGAGAAGCTTGAGAGAGCGCAGAGAAAAGCCAGGTGCATGATCACAGGTCAGGAAAACAGACCTTATGACGACAGGCTGAGAACTATGGGGCTCTTTAGCCTGGAAAAGCGCCGGCTCAGGGGTGATCTGATGGCCACCTATATGTTTATTAGAAGTGACCACCAGTGTCTGGGGGAATGTTTGTTCACCAGAGCGCCCCAAGGGATGACGAGGTCAAATGGTTATAAGCTTCTGCAAGACCGTTTCAGGCTGGACATAAGGAAGAACTTCTTTACTGTCTAAGCCCCCAAGGTCTGCCATCGGAGGTGGTTCAAGCACCTACATTGAACACCTTCAAGAGAAATTTGGATTCTTATCTTGGTGGGATCCTATGGCCCCAGCTGACTTCCTGCCCCTGGGGCAGGGGCTGGACTCGATCTTCCAAGGTCCCTTCCATCCCTAATGTCTATGAATTCTACATAATATTTATTATATTATATTATATTCTTCCTCGTGTTATATTAAAGAATCAAAAATGAAGTGCCGAAAAGAATTAGATATCATGGGGCAACATGCATTATGTTCCTGTTATAGGATGCTCTCCAATTTAAAATCATAGAAAATTAAATCTGGAAGGAATTTTAAAAGATCATCTAGTCTAGCCTCTGCTCAAGGCAGGATCACTTCTGTATAAAACATCCCAGACAAATGTTTATTTAATTTGTGCTGAAAAAGTTCCAGTTATAGATTCCACGACCTCTAAGTAATCTCTTCCAGTGCTGAACCACTCTCATACTGACAAAGTTCTTCCTAATATTTAACTTAAATGTCCCTTGATAGCATTTAAGCATGTTACATTCCATCCACTGTGAACATGGAGAAGAATGCCTTTTGTATTTGCAGGCACTTATTAAATGCCTTCTTCAGTCCTCCTTTCTCTAGGCCAGTGGTTCTCAGCCATTTCAGACTCAAGCCACCTGTGCATAACTTCTGTAAATTGAATAGCACCCAATTTCAAAAACTTATATAATGTAGTGCATGTTTCCTTGCAGAGAAAGGGACTGGGCAGTGGGTATGGAAGATCATCCAGGCAGGGTAAGCCTGAGTCTGCTCGTATCCACTTAGTTTATCTTCCTATCTCCTTGTACCTCACATATCTCTTCACACCTTGGATCACCCTGTTCCAGCACCCCGCTTAAGAATCACTGCTCTAGTCTACTTCCATCTTTTTCTAGAACTTCAAAATCCTCTGGAGTGTTCACAGCAGTTTGTCCGTGTCTTTCTTAAGCTATGATGCTTCAGACTAAAAGAGGAATCACCAATGCTAAAAGAATAGAAAACTCACTTAGCATATTTACTTGAATCTAGGATGAGGGTTTGTTCCCCAGTCAGTATGGGGGAGGTGGGAGGAAAACCCCTCATCATAGATTTGCATACAAAGCAAAGGCAGGAGGCAGACAGCTGCTGCAGCTCTTACTGGCCCACAGCAGCCTCCTTCCCCCCAACTCTGCTTGCCCTCTATTGCTTTTGCTCCCCCACTCTGCCCCCTTTCCCCCACTTACTTTCAGGCAGCTTAGTTCCAGCTCTGGTGGGATTCCCTCCCAGGCACAGAGAACAGGGAAACTCCATTGCATGGCCTAGCAAGAGCTGCATTTCTGTGTATTGTGCTCCATGACCTGGGATGGAATAGAGCCTGAGCAGCTTCTGACAGTATGATGGGAGGTAGGGGTTGGGGAGGAAGGGACAGAGATTGTAGGAAGTGGGCAGTGGGGAAGGGGAAGAAATGGTGGAGAACTGTAGGTTGGAAGAAGTAGGAGGGGCAAGGAAACAGGGCTGCCTGCCCACCCCTAGCCACTGCTTTCCTTGCTGTAATAGTGTGATGGTTGGGAGAAGTGAATTTAAGACAACTGTCCAATAATTAAATTCTATACCTGGAAAGTGATAACAAATTTATAAATTTTTCCATATAAAAAATCTAATTATTGAATCATCTTAAATTTGGGTTCATCTTAGATTTAGGTAAACATGGTATTTTGACTTGTATATGGCATTCCTATTAATGCATCCCAGTGGCCATGTCTACACAAGATGACTGCATGCTAGCATCACGTAGCAGAAAGTGTGATGCAATGCTACTACACAGTAGTCTCAGGCTACTGCAGAGTCAGCATCATGAAAAAACCATTCAGCGACACTACTGCTCAGAAACTCCAGTTTCTGCACCGTCATTTTAATACTTATTTATAAAACTATTAAATGACTGTGCAGTACTGCACAGTCAGTGTCTTGTGTAGATGTGGCCAGTATGTCATTGCCCCTTAAAAAAAGAAAAAACTCACTGATGACTCATTCAACTTTGGACCCAATATAACCCCCAGATTCTTTTCTGAACTACTGCAGACTGGCCAGTCACTCTCCTTTTTACATTTCTTCATTTGATTTATTTTTTTTCCTTTCTAAGTGTAGTATTTTGCAATAGTCCTGACTGAATTTCATCCTTTCTGTTTCAAACCATTTCATAAATTAATCAAAGTAATTTTGATTTCCTCATGTTATCCTCTAGTGATCCTGCAACCACACTCAGTCCCCAAGAAATTTCATATGTGCTCATTCCATCTTTCAAGTCCTTAGAGAAACTGTTGAACAACAGACCCTAAACAGACTCATGAAGAAACCACTCTTGACACATCCTCTGAGTTTGAATTTGTTATTGGTGACTACTTTTCATCCCAATTATCCAATCATAATTGAATATGTATGTATCCAGTTTTGTAAGCTAGCCCATAATTTCTTAGGTGCCTGTAGCACTCACATAATAGACAATGTCAAAATCCTTACTGAAGTTAAGGCATATTATATACACTACATGCCTCACCTCTCTGTTGCCCCCGTCCACAGGACCTATGATCCTCTCATAGAAAAAAATCTTTCTTTTGTACTTTCATCTCATGGCAGAGAAGGCCAAAAGGTGTTCCATTTCTGAGGAGATACATTCAGGGGCTGCAAAAAAGTTTTTCCACTTCTGCTCAAGAATTGTTTCAGTAGCCAAGGATTGTCCAGATCACACAATACTTCATTCCCAACATGTTCCATATGGCTATGAAGAGGGGCTGTAGAGGGTATGAAGATTCTTTAATGATGGAAGAATCCTTAGCGGCTTCCAAAGGTTCCTTTGTATTGTTCCAGTGTTTTGTTTTTAAGGGTTTTAATAGAGCTCATCAAGTCTAAGTGTAGAATCGCTTTGGGAAGTCTCGGAGGTTTGTAGACAACTTTTAATAGTCTCTGGTATTTGTGGAAGGAAAGGACTAGCCTTGCTGCCTCTGATTGTAGGGAGAAAAACTGGAAAAAATGGTGACAAATTCTTCATTATCTAACTCTCCACAGACTGTCTTGATATTATAGCGGATTTCCTTGATGGGTATGATGCCTTTTATAGTACATACTGAATTAAGATACTGTTGTCTGTGACTTGAATAGATTTTGAGCCATTCAGTATGTAGCTACAAAGATGGTTCTTTTTTAACATGCTTTTTGCAATTTGCTTTTGAAATCCTCATGAATATGCTACATGAAGATTCATTACTTAATAGAATATCATCTGAAGAATAAGGTGGTTGAAAAAATATATAGGTTTCTAGAAATAATAAATGGGTTAAGAATATAAGTTAAATGTTTGGAAACCATCAGAGATTATATATGTTGACAGGGCCTAGTGACATTTTTACTATGCAAGATGTTATAAATACTACAGAATGGCTATAAAACATTTTATTTTTATTTATTGCGTGTCTTATGTAAGGTTATCCAAGAAAGATTGGCAGATGATAAAGGAAAGGAGACTGCCGAAGAAATTCTGCAACAAAAAGATGACCTCTCTCATCTGTCTGAGGGCCAGTTTGCTGACCACAGTTCAGCTACCTCTGAAGATGAAACAGAAATAACCGAGGAATTGGAACCAGAAGGTTATTTTCATTTTTATAAATTATAAATATATCTGTTTCCCTAATAAATCCACCTCTCCCCATTTTTAAGCAATTGTTGTTAACAGTGGGAGCTGTCTTATAATAAGCTTCATGACAGAATATTCTAGTTTTCCTTATGGCTGTAGGTGTGTGGGTTTGTTGGTGTTATTCTTAGCCCAAGTGGAAACTATATTGTTAATTGAATGCAAAAACCTGGTATGTGACCTAGTTTCATAAAATATTAAAGAAAACCTCGTTTCTATTTAAAGTGTCTTTATATTTCCCCTTCAGAACTGTGCTGTTCTAAAGAATATTTTAACAAGTATGCTCGTTTTGTCTACAGATAACCATCATCAGTAACATCAGAGATTTGTCTCAAACAATGAGAGGGCAATATATTTTTTCACAAGTGTGACACAAAGTTGGTAAAGGCAGATTTATGTAAAGAGTACAAAGGCCTAGTTCACCCTGTTCTAGCTCATAGTTAAGCTTAGTTATCAGGAAAGCAAGCTTGAGTCCCTGAGACTGAGATTTAAAATAGGAGTGGGAACAGGATTCTAGAATTTTTAATTAGTTAGATATTTTGCTTTAAGTACAATATGAAAAACATGGAGTAACTCTTTTTCCTTTTTTAAATCAACTTTTCTCCAATAAAACAGAGCTAAGGTCTTTACGGAAGTGTCACCCTACCCCAACCCCATCCCACCTTGTAGAAATTATTTTTAGTACATTCTCAATGTATGCAAGCATGTTGGTGAAACCTAAAGAGTGAAAATCTACAGATCAGTTTAATATAGGAATATTGATTTAATGTTTGTCTACACTGCAGTTGATCATGGGAAAATCTGGTAGCATTGCAGCCCTCAGCTTCCATCATTACATGTTTTGCTGTTTGTAGAAGACTGTTGCAGGTCACTAAGCAGCGCCTGCTACTTTCAGGATGTGGCTGACTGGTCAGAGAGCCCTGCCCAGTCTGCAGGGCTCTCCAGCTATGGGTTGCCAGGGTTGCAGCCTAAGGAGGGAATAAGGAACACTTGCAGGAACCACGTGACCAGCTGGAGGCAGGGTTTTGGCCTAGATAAGATATGGGCTAGAGTCAACAAAGGGATGCCCTGGCAGCGTCCAGAGTGGGAGAACTGCAAGTGGAAGCAGCTGGAGAACTGACACTGTCTGCTTTGTTCCCCAGTGCAGTGGGAACTACCTAGGGACCTCCCAGGTACTTAAGCTAGAGAGAATGCACTAGAAAAGGGACATAGTATTTGTGTTATAGATAGGGTGGCCATCATAGAGGACATTCTGGTTTTATGCTACTCTGTCCTCTATTGATACGAAACCTGACATCTATATGTCTTCTATTTTCCTCTTCAAGAGAAAAATAGAGGACATAAAGGCATCCAGTTTTGTATCAGAGGACAGAGTAGCAGAAAACCAGACTGTCTTCTATGATGTCCACCCTACTTGTAGATGATGGGCAGGTTACAGCCTGGAGGCTTTTGGTTTGTGTTTCTGTTTACATCCAGAGGACCAGGATGAGGCTAAAAGGGGAGATTGAGGCCTCATTTTGTGCCCTAGAGCCAGAGGGCCTTGGATACAAGGGCACAGGGAGCCCATAGAGCCAGAGGGGCTCAGAGGGGCTAGAAATTATAACACCTACAAGGCTTGGGACATACTAAGGGGGAGGCTGGAGGCATGGATGATAAACCTTTAACACTGAGATAGCAGTGGGGCAGCCTCTCACCTAAACTGAACTGTGCCAGGGCACCTTTTGGGTGCCTGCCACTTTAAGGGCTGGAGCAGGCAGCTGCCAGGTGCCTGATGAGGGCGGCCATTTTCAAACATAGGCCAGCTAGGCAGGGCCAGCAGTTAGCTGCCTGCAACTGAGGGAGCAGCACCATCCAGCTCCCTTGCGGCAAGGAACATCCTGGAGGTAAGGGCAGAAGCTAGGGGGATGGCTTGGAGTCTCCTGGTCCTGGGTAAGACCTAAAACTGCACCCTGCCAGGGAAGGGTGGCCTGGTGGGGCTCTTGGTGGCATGGGAGCCCCCAGGAAATGCCAGGCCAGTTACTTCCCCAATGAAAAGGTGAGTGTGAGGCACCTTCTAACCCCAGCCGCGCATCCCTGGTGGAACTAAGATTGGACAGGGGGAGCCCAGACTCTGGGTGAGCGCTGAGACAGAGCCCAGGTCAGGAGGAGGGATCCTGGGCAGCACCTAGGCTCACCAAAGAGTCCTGTGGCTGCAGAGGGGGAGCCAGAGAGAAGCTCCTGAGAGAAATGGCCCTGGTGACGGGGCTGGGACTGTGAGCTCCAGTGGGGAGTGAGAGTCCCATGTGAGACTCCAGAGCTGGGGTCCCAGTGCCAACCGCTAAAGAAACATCTGCAAGGCATGGAACACATGTAAGGGGAAGTCAGAGCATGTACTAAGGCCCTGGTGATCAGGAGGGCAAGAAAATGGGTAGCCTCTCGCCTTACTAACAACTTTCATACTTTTTATATCAAGGCGTGGCAGACAAGCAAAGCGAGAGGTTACCCCAGAGACACGTGGGTGGCCGGCAAAGAGGCTACCCTGTTACATGTACATATTTTAATCCATCAAAGCCATGGCAGGAAGATAGGTGGGCAGACTGCCCAGACAGGCAAGCCATGGTAGTGACTGGTCTTGTGACCCCTTCCTGTCCCAAAGACCAAAGAAAAAATAGTGACTGTTTAGACCAGGGGTGCTCAGCCTCTGTTCCATAGGCCAAATGCAGCCTGCAGAGCCGCTGCATCTGGGCCACAGGGCTCCCCAAGGGTCAAGAAATTTGGCAGCAGAGGAGCAGTGGCTATTAATACTGCTACCATCCCCCCTGGCAAATTCCCAAACCCAAAGCCGTACGCAGCAGCTATGCCCTGCCGCTAACCCC